TTTTGGTCGTAGTCTTCTTGTTGAGCATTTGTTTCTTAGTTATTATTATTTTTTAAGAGAGTATGACACTTGATCAGCAAGATCTAGGCAATACGGGTGATTCCAGCAGTACAGAAACTGCTAAAGGAGGCACAATGAGGGAGGAAAGTACTTTAATTCGATAAGTGCCTTACAAAACATACAAGACGCTTATAGATTGAATGGAAAAAACTACCTTAAGTGGTCATAATTGGTTCGGACTTTCTTAAAAGGGACAAGTAAACTTAGTCATCTCCTCTGAACGGATCCTAAGGAAGGAGATCTCATATTCGAGGCTTGGGATAAACAAGACTCATTGGTTATGTATTGGTTGTGGAATTCAATGGTGCCTGAAATTAGTGACACATGCATGTTTATTGGAACAACCCAGGAGATTTGGGAGGATGTAAAACAAACATATTCGAAGGTTCGAGATACTGTCCAGATTTATGAAATCAGGAGCAAGATTTCAACCACTAAACAACGAAGCAAATCTATTACAGAGTATTCTAATATGTTGCAGAATCTGTGGCATGAAATGGATCACTATCAATGTATTCAGATGAAATGCAGTGAGGATGCAACAATTCTAAAGATATTTGTAGAAAAAGATAGGATTTATGATTTTCCTGCTGGACTAAATATAGAATTTGATGTAGTAAAGGTCCAGATTCTAGGAAAAGAATATCTGCCCTTATTGAATGAAACTATTACTATCATTCGTGCTGAAGAAGGAAGAAAATAAGTGATGGTGGTTGAAAACAATCAAGTAGAAAGTTCAGCCTTGGTTACTAGGGTTGTTAATTAGGGTCCAAATCTTTTAGAGCAGCAGAATATTGAAGGCATGCCAGAAGAAACAAGGACTGTTAACAAGGACTCCTTATGTTGTACTTACTTCAAAAAACCTCATCACACCAAAAAGAAGTGTTGGAGGTTACATGGAAAGCCTCAGATTGCAAATAAAAATTTCACAGATAAATGAGGCTCAACAAGAGGACAAAGAAAAGCTTATGCAACTAAACATGTGGCTAAGGAGTCTGATGAACAATCCATGGAATTCAACCGGGAAGAAGTAGAAAAATTGAAGAACCTACTGGAATCTTTAGAAAAACCATCATCTACAGGTACATGCAATCTAGTTTTCTCATGTATATCTTATTCCTCTTCTTAGAATTCTATTGCCTTGGAATCATCCACCCACATACCTACCCAAAACTCCTGGGTAATTGACTTAGGAGCCACTGATCACATAACATCACTAAAATTTCTCACCTACATAGCCTGCTCTAGCAACAAGAAAATCACAGTTGCAGATGGTACTATGGTAACGGTTGCTGGCTAAGGAGATATTGCCATCAGTAAAACCTATTGCTTAAAAATGTTCTACATGTGCCAAAACTATTTAATAACCTTATCTTTATTCCAAAGCTTATTAAATACACTAAATGCAATGTTTTATTTCATCATACACAATGTATTTTTCAGGAGCAAAAAATAATGATGATTGGGTGTGCTAAGGAAATAAATGGCTTATACTACCTTAAAGACCTTAGTAGACCAACTAGAGTTTCGAATACTCAACCATTGTCTTTTTTATTCGAATATACAATCAATAAAGACCAAATCTGGATGCATCACTTTCGCCTTGGTCACCTATCTTTTAGACTCTTAAATATTATGTTCCCTCATTGTGTAATTCCTTAAATATTGAAAATTTTCATTGTGAAGTTTGTGAATTTGCAGCAAGTAATAAGCGGACCAACAGTCCATTTACCTTTATTCACAGTGATGTTTGGGGGCCTTCCACTATTCCTGACATAACTGGGGATAAATGGTTTGTGTCTTTTATAGATGATTATACTCGGGTTACTTGGATTTATCTACTAAAACATAAGTTTGATGTTTCCTCTACTTTTAAAACCTTTTATACCATGATCAAGACTCAATTTGGGGCTGAAATAAAACGAATCATAATAGATAATGCCAAGGACTACTTTATTCAAGCCATGTCACCTTTTTTTTAGAAAGAGATATTATACATGAGTTCTCTTGTGTAAACACTCCCCAACAGAATGGGGTATAAAAAAGGAAGAATGTACATCTTCTTGCCATAACTAGAACCCTTTTATTTTAAAATAATGTCCCTAAAAGGTACTGGAGGAAGCTGTGTTAACTGCCACTTACATAAATAGACTACCACTAAAGTCCTTGAATCCCAAAGTCCCCTTCAAACCCTTACAAAGTTCTTTCCAGATTTCAGTCAATCTTTTAATCTAAAACCAAGAGTATTTGGTGTGATGCTTTTTTCGCATTCATTCTCAAGGCCGAGGGAAACTTGATCCAAGGGCATTGAAATGCATTTTTATTGGGTATTCCTCTACTCAAAAGGGCTACAAATACTATCACCCTCCTACAAGAAAATACTACACTTTTGCTGATGTCACTTTTGTCGAAAAAGAGAGTTATTTTAAAGTTCCTTATCTTAAGGGGATATATCTTTTAGGGAAGATAAGGATGCAATTTTTTTTTACTTCAACCCCTTATTGATCTTCCTAAATCTACACATATACCTATACATTATACAGAAACACAGTATGCTTCTACACCTATATCTACACATTCTACAAAAACACAACCTACTTCTACTTCATCATCTCCCCAGTCAGAACCTAGTATTCCTCAAACTTCTACTCTTCAACCAAACATTAATACACCATAGCCCAATATTCAGGACACTATTTGTCCCTAAGGGTCTATTTGAAGAAGAAGACATATATACAGATTCAATCATCTCCTTCTCCTGTTCCTATGAAATTTAAGGTACACTCTGAAACTCCTTTTGAAAAAAGTGATGCTAAAAATACTATATATGCTTATGATTTTGAATTTCCCATTACTATTAGAAAAGAAAACATAACTTGCACCACCAAACATTCTACTTATCTATTTTTTATCTACAAAAACCTATCCCCTAATCACAGAACCTTCCTTACTAGCCTAAATAACATTGATATTCCTATAACAATATCTGAGGCATTAGAAAATGAGAACTGTAAAAAGGCTATGAAAGATGAAATGGAGGTGTTAGAGAAGAATAAGACATGGGATTTAGTGAAGCTGCCAGAAGGGAAAGAAATAGTGGGATACATATGTGTATTTATTATCAAGTATAAATCAGATGGTTCTAAAGAAATGTACAAAACAAGATGGGTGGCAAAGGGGTATTCTCAAACCTATGGAATTAACTATCTTGAAATGTTTTCCCCTGCAAAGATGAACACAATGAGGGCCCTACTATCCTTAGCATATATTCAGGGATAGAATTTGCAGCAATTTGACATCAAGAATGCCTTCTTGCATGGGGACCTTGAAGAAGAAGTTTACATGGATATTCTACTCGGATTTGATTTGAATACTGGACAGGCAGTGTGTAAATTGAGAAAAGCTTTTTATGGACTAAAATAATCCCCAAGAGCTTGGTTTGAGAGATTTACTAAAGTAATACTAAAACAAGGCTTCAAAAATAGCCAAGGTGATCATACTTTGTTTGTGAAATACTCTCCTTCAGGGGGAGTAACTGCACTGTTGGTGTATATAAATTATATAATTATTACAGGTAATGATTCTGAAGGAATTAGTAACTTAAAGAAGTGTCTTATAAAAGAGTTTGAAGTGAAGGACCTTGGAAGATTAAAATACTTCCTTAGTATTGAGGTGGCTCACTCACAGCAAGGGACTTTTATATCTCAGCAGAAGTATACTTTGGACTTGTTGAAGGAAACTAGAAAACTAAGATGTAAACCAGCAGAAACTCCTATAATAGTGAATCACATGCTTGGAGACCCAAAGGAGAATGATATAGTAGTTGACATAAGTTTTTTTAGAGACTCATTAGAAAGCTTATCTATTTGTCACACACCAGACCAAACATAGCATATGATGTTGAGGTTGTGAGCCAATTCATGCACAATCCTAAGGAATCACACCTAAGGGTTGTAGTCCAAATTTTGCAATACTTGAAGGGTACACCAGGGAAAATAATTCTATTTAGAAGAGGGGGAAACTTGACTCTAGAAGAATACATGGATGCAGATTATGCAGGATCCATAATTGATAGATGGTCAACTTCAGGCTATTGCACTTTCTTTGGAGGTAACTTAGTTACTTGGAGAAGCAAAAAAAATAAAAATAGAATGTGGTGGCTAGATCAAATGCAAAAGCTGAATTTTGAGCTATGGCATTGGAAATTTGTGAGTTATTATGGCTGAAGATTATTTTAGAAGACTTGAAGGTAAAGTGGAATGGACCAATGAAACTCTACTGTGATAACAAGTCAGCAATCAACATTGCTCATAATCCAATTCAACATGACAGAACAAAACATGTTGAAGTGGAATGACATTTCATAAAAGAGAAACTTGACAGTGGCCTGATCTGTACTCCCTATGTGACCACTAGAGATCAAGTTGCATACATACTTACCAAGGGTCTACCTGGTAAGTATTTTCAGAAGTTAACAAACAAGCTGGGGATGGAAGATATCCATGCTCCCAGCTTGAGGGGGAGTGTCAGAGATTAGTTCCCTAAGTTAAAAAGATTGAGTTGGATTTGTAAATATTCTATTTAGTTAGTATCCCTAAATCTAAGAGATTTTTTTTTTACTAGAATTAGTCTCTTACCTAGTTTAGAAGTTACCTAAGATAAGGCCTAGTCTTGTATATATAATTGTAAGTTTCCTACACGTTTAATAAGAGTAAATTAAAGTAAAATTCATGGCTTTTGCCATTTTCTTTGAATTAATAGAAAAACTAGGGGTCTTCTATTAACCTAACTTATCTTTAGTTCCATCTTTCCAATTCGTATTTCAGTCATATTTATATTGTTTCACTACATTTTTTCTTCTAAATCACATCAATAGGGTACCCTAAAAACAAAACATGCCGGAAGTAACAATATATTGGCCATTAATAAATTAATTGTACCTTTCATTAATGCAATAAGTTTCTGAATTCCACCATAGTAGCCAAAAACTCTGCAATTACGCAGTGAACGAATGATAATTTTTAAAGCATCCAAAACAGGTAACCCTTCGGAAGTGATTATCAAGCTTAAGGAAGCTGCAGGAACGTCTGTTGTTGTGCGTCCCGCACCTGTATTTACTGGATTCATAATGAAAAGAATAAATAAAATATAATGAAGAATAAACATTTATAATAAATTCTCAATCAACCTATATATAGGAAAAGAGAACCATAAAAATTGGAATAATTAAGAGTGCATACTACCACCTTCACCTGTGATAATCTCTGGTAACAATGTCTTTTGATTAATTTTACTTAGAAAATAAAGCTGTAAAATTTTTCCAATAAAGGACATATTAACAATAATGTAACAAAGAGGAGTTTTAGCACTTACAAGGGATATCCAAAAAAATTACAAGGAATGAATGAAACTGTAATTAATTACCATGTTAAAACTTCAATCTGAACTAGTTCTTAACAAATCTTAGGTTGCATATGAAATTTTATATTTTTAAGAGTAGGTTATTAAATTTCTATCATTTTTCTAAAAACAAATGTTTTAAAATTTAGAATTTCTTTCCCATTCTAATTCAATTTCCAATTTTTTTCTCCCCTTATGTCCTTCCTATCAACAAATAATGTCAAACGAAAGGAACTTCCTTAATAGATAAATATCAACTTACTCTCAGAGACCAAAATGGTTAATTGCACAACCTCTTCAGACAATGTCAAAATGATCTCAGAAGGATGCCCGACAGAACAACCAATAATATCATTATCAATAGTAGAATTCTCTCCAGGTTGATCAGCCTCTGGTAACTGACCAGCATTAACAGGCTCCCAGTTCTTGAATACTGTCAAAAACTGCTTCAGGAAAATATGAAATAGTCGTTTCTTTTCCTCCTAAAATCATGCAAACCAGAGGGTGGGGGAAGATTAATATAGACAACTGAAGATATATTATCAATAGATATAAACATTAAAGATGAAGATTATTAGAATTTTATATTAGAAGAATATTTTTAAAATTATGAGATTACATATAAAGACCTGAATTGCAGGAGGGAAAAAGAATTGATTAATAAAGTAATTGCTCAAAACTGATGAGAAGTCACCTAAAGTGAGAAAACAACTAAAAGACATGTAAAACTATTTCCAATGAACATTTAAAAGCCTTTAAAAATTGTGAATTGAATACCATGTGAGTAGTTAAGAATGTTACAATAATACTAAACAAGCATGAACGAAGTTTCAATGCTCAATGATTAAAGAAAGGTTTCTTCTCTAAAACTTTTACCTTCTCTAGCAGAATGACCACACTCCATCTAGAGTTGGTCTAATTACAGTTTATATTATATGTCATAATCACCTCCTACCAAGTTGTTAACAAGACATTCCTTTTCTTGGACCAAATCTAGGAAAAAGAATACATGAATTGATAGAAGGTAAAAGAAAACTCTACAAATGGTGTAGTTAAACCAGATAACTAAAAAAGCATTTAAAAACTTTTGAAGACATGAAGGAATACCTTATCTTCGGTATTCTCATATCTCTCCCACAATGAACTCAAAACTGCTTCATCGTCTACTCCACTGGAAGAAAAATACCAAAATGAATAAAGAACCAAATGAACTGCCAGCTTGGACAAATGGAACTAATCAACTTGTTCAAAAATAAGTTTACTCTAAAGTGCTAAAACATCTCCAAATTTTATTCTCAAAAACTCCATTATAGTGATCATTTCTGAATAATGTGTGATAACAAAATTCGGATAGCATCACGTACCTGAAACGAATCCTTGGTGTAGGAGGAGACAATATCTCCTCTTTTTCCCCTGAAGATTCTCCAGTGTGACCACTAGACCGTCGAATAAGGTCGGCAACACCTTTTACAATGTTCATGTTTCCCGCCAATGCAAGAACTACTGCTTCATAATCCAACCAACAATAAATAGATGGCCATTCTTGGCCATTACTTCGCGCCACGATCAACCAAGCCGTTCATATTAAACCACATCCAAATGCTTCAGTACAGTAAACTAGGCAGTTTCAATTTCAGTTAAAACAAATAATTCGCAAAAGACTTTTTTTTCTTATTTTTAAAACAATTTCCAGTTCTAATTTCCTGTTTTCAATGAAAATTCTAAGCCAATAAATGTAAGATCAAAATTTCTTTTAATTAAATAATATCGAAGTACTTATTACAAGTTCTCACGGAGAAAATTAAATTACAGAAGGCGATCAAGTGGAAGCCAATGCACATTCTTTAAAACGAGGAACATTCAAGAACACACCATTCGAGATTAAGAAGATTGAAAAGAAAAAAAATGAAGCGAATATAATCAATATTTTCCGAACATTCAATCAAGTGAAATTAAAAAAGAAGAATAAAGCAATCGTTAATGACGGAAGATGGAAATACCAGATCATATCAAACGGCTGGTGTCCTGCCTTGAATGCTATATTAACAATATCTGTTCGTTTCCTTGAGCTTTCTCGATGCAATGAGAATGGAAAAAAAATGATGAGCGACTAAGAGAAAACAGAGAGAAAAGAGGGGATGGGGAGGTGAAAGGAAGGTAGAATACATCTTAGAGTTTGTTTAACTAACTATATTGAATAAAAATAATAAGGGTAAAGTACACATATGGTCTCCTTACTATAGGATACTACTCTATTGAGTCCTTCAACTATTAAAAACTACAAAATGATCCCTCAATTATAAAGAGTTGCTTTATTGAGTCTCTCAACTATTAAAAGTTACAAAATGGTCACTCGACTATTCGTTATCTTCCAAACTCATCTTTTTCCGTTAAAAAATTAACGATCGTCTGAGTTGGACGTTAACATGCTAACTGAGATCAGGGTTGCAAATCATGGTCCGAAAATGTGATAGAGCCCGAGAAATAGTGGTTTCGTTGTAGTCCGAGTTGCCTGCTACACCCGCAATAGCGCCCGCGATGGCCACAATCACTGTAAACCCGAAATGACCGAAAACGCGATCGCGATTTGAAACCCTAACTGAGATATAATAGTCATTTGAGATTATGAGATCCAATTTTATCATATCTCAGTCAGCATGTTAACGTCTAGCTCAGATGATCGTTAATCTTTTAACGAAAAAGAACAAGTTTGAAATATAATGAATAGTCGAGTGACCATTTTATAACTTTTAATAGTCGAAGGACTCAACTAAGCAACTCCCTATAGTCTAGGGACCATTTTATAATGTTTAATAGTTTAGGGGCTCAAAAATATAGTATCATATAGTCAAGGGACCATATATGCACTTTACCCAATAATAAAATAGAACAACCAACAGAACTGCATCAGTCCCAAATGCTGTCGTTTTGAAGCATTTGCATTATACGATGCCGTTCCATTCCGTTTTGGAACCTGCGGAAGGGGAAAGAAAATGGGCCTGATAGATCCATTAAAGATTCGGATTTTGTTTGGAGGACTACCCCATAGTGTGTTTGATATAATTTTCAAATAAATAAATATTATTTTATTAGAAAATAACATCTTAAGATCCATTTGTTTTAATGTAATTGATCTTTTAGAAAATAAATTATCTTTTTTAAATTTGAAAAAATAATGTTTCGATGATTATGCGTAATTTATTTTTCATTTGATAAATTTTCTTAAAATTGAAATATACTTTCAGCGAAACAAACACACGTTTTAAGTTTTGTTCCTTTTATCTTTTATTTTTTATTGATTTAATTTTATTGCTATAAAATTATATATTTTTTAAAATTTTATATACGTATTATGATATTTTATTTTTATAAATACAATAAATTAAATTTTTATGTCACTCATTCTTTTATATAAATATAGATAATATAAATAACTTTAAGTTGATAGTAATACATTTTTTTTGGAATTGAAAGGGACCATAATTCTTATTCATTAACATTTTTAACATTAGATTTACATTTTAACTTCTAATTAAAATTTTATACTTGGGTTTAATTAATATAATCTTAATTTTTTTATTAAAAATGTGTTTTATATACCTACATTGAAAAGGAATAAATATTGATATTAATTAGTATTATATCACATTGAATAATGTCATTTCAATTGTATAATTAGTACTACATTATATTAACACAATAATATTGTCCATCTGCATAATTAGTAGCACACCACTTTCAAACAACAATATCATCTAAATGAATAATTAGTAGTATATCATAATACGAAAACGGTATTGGCCAACTGCATAATTAGTAGTACAACACATTTAATTAATAATTTATTGAAATGTTTAATGATTATTAAGTGCTACATTAAAATCTTATAGCTTTAACATTGGGTAAACTTTTGAAATCAAAATTTTATATGTTTTGTTTTTTCATCGGAAAGCTTTGGCATCGAACTCATTCATTACAAAAAAATCAAACACATTGTAAAGAAATTTACCATCAAATCCTTCATTTTCCATCGATGTCATTTTTTTTGTAAAGATATAGTATCTTATCTTCAATAATTTTTCCAATACTTCAGAAGTCTTAAGTTTCTCACCTAAATAATTGAATCTAATTAACCTTTACATCTTCTTTTATGTATTTCATTTGATGTTATTTATGTGCTAGATGAAGATGCTATTGTTACTTTCCTAATTTATAACCTATTAAACTCAACTCAGACATTACGACCATATATTTTTAGTTACATACTTTGCCTCAAAACGTTTTTAAAATTTTATACATCATTTAAATATGGAAATTAAACATAAAATTTTTATTTATTAATAAAATAAAATAATTTCCAAAAATCCATTTATATATATATATATATATATATTACATAAAAACATATAATCATCGCATATGCAAAATATCAATAATATCATACGTATTTGAAATAATATGTACATACATAATTAGTAGTAAATTTCAATGTCACCAAAATAATGAAGAAACGGGTAAAAGTATTGCAATGAAATTTTATACATCATCTAAATATGGAAATTAAACATAAAATATTTATTTATTAATAAAATAAAATAATTTCCAAAAGTCCATTAAGTCTGTAATATATATATATATATATATAATACATAAAATCATATAATCATCACATGTACAAAATAT